TGTCATTACCATCGGATGTAAGTGCATAGTAGCTTCGACCTTCGGGATATGGCAAGGTCTCATCTTTGGGGGCAACGCGCGCCCACTGTTCTTCAACAGGATCAAAGACCCATAGGGAACCCTTCTCCTCAATTGGACTCATAGCGACCCCTCCTCGCCCAGAGAAGACGTATAACTTTCCATCCAGCCCTGTGGAGAGGACTCCCACCCGTGGCGAAGGGCCTGAGTTCGATGCCGTAATCTTAGACACCAAGTCCGCGTCATTATGAACTGTCCAGACGTTAACATCCAGGTTGTTCTGAATAACCTAGCCCACGAACTTGAAGGGTAGAACTGACCTTCGGCAAGATGGATCACGTGGATGTCCGAATTAACGGGCTCACGGGGCTTGATCTCTCCACCGTATATATAGGCATCAGTGCCAATCACAGAGAGGGCTTGGGATGATCTCTTGACTCTCTGCGTGTCCAGGATCTGTGTCCACTTTGCGCTTACCATATCGAAAATGCACGGAGACGTCAATAATGAGTTGGATTGCCGGGTAGAGAAGACTTGAATCTCTGAAATCACCTCAAAAATGAGGGTGTTGCTGGCAGTTAAATTGATTGGCCAAAAAAAGAGGACCTTAAAGGCCACCCTGGAGCAAAGTAGATTGTCCGACTGGTGTTGCCGACTCAACCACAGCAATCGTTGGAAGATATCGGATATAAACAAATGCAACAGACCTCAGGGTAGCTGTACAGCTCTCTGGCCATATCAGCGGACTTTCAGCTCCATCAGTGATGGTTTTCACAGGTGAGAGTAGTGTTTTTTTTTTTTGGAAGAGAGCAAAGGGCGCGGCTAACAGTAGAGCAAAATGACGTTCCTTGCACGTGACTGTGCACGTGACTGAAATCAAATGCCAAACTGGAAAGCTTTGGGCTGAAACACGAATTAATATTGTGCAGAGCGAGTATTCTGATGGCAACCCGATTTCCTTCTTCTATCACAGGTCCCTACCTTCATTGCGCGTCAAGACCTTGCTTTCTTTCATGTCCCATCTTGGTACCTCCACTCCGCGGTAAACCTCTCGAGGCAACCTCCAGAACACCTTGAACCATGCGGTCGCTGAACGTCCTTCTGGACGTTGCTATGGTGAACAACTCGGTTCCCTAAGCTACAGCATGTAAATGTTTACCAATACACACCAGAGCGCATGTACTCTGAGCTTGGAAATGACCAGGAGCAGTCCGACATTCGTCGGGCCTGGGTGTCCAGGCACCTCATTACACCCACTAATCTGTCCGGGGTAGAAGAGACAACATTGGTCTAGCATCTACCTCGTATTAGACTACAAATTAGACGATGTATTACTCGTAGACGAAGCTGGTTGAGAATACTGGCGCCAGCGACCTGGTACTTACAAATACGTACCTAGCAAACCTGCAAGCTCGCAAGCTACCTAGTGGGTAAGGGAAGGCCTCCTCTCGGATGCCAGTGGGTAGTTACCTAAGCTGCTAGATGGTTTGCGAAATGGACCATGATAGCCAGCACCACGAGTTCATTCAAGCGAGTCTTCTTGCACGAGTCGTAAGCTGCCATCTCAATAACGTCACAATCTAACAGCTTTCGGAGGCATCACCAGAGACGTTCGTCCCAACTCAAAAGCTGGATCGGTACATGCTCTCGCCGACCATTGAAATGCCGTCTCTAGAGCAATCAGCCGAGTAGGGGTATTTCTTACCAGGCGAGCAGGGTAGCGAATAAGAGAATGGATGAGCTTCAAGAGTTTAAATCGCCCAGGGCATGTATTACAACAGTTACTGTAAATTTGGTCTGCGGTTGGCGACGGCACTGGTTAACGCTGATCATCTTTTCGACTCGCACAGCTTTTTGCAGGATTCGTCGTCGGCAAGGACCTACGTGAACCTAGCCAGAATTGCGGTCAAGCAATCACCTACCTTCCCGACATGCCTCCGGGCCCGGGGACTCACAGCTTGGAATATGGCCAGACTCCCATCGTTGAATGATGTGGATACTAAAGAGAGGGTGATATGATATTTTTCTGGCCGTGGAATGGCTTTTGTCGATAGTGGTGTGCATCCCTGATCACTGCTTACTTTTGTACACAAGGATTCTTGCTCCAATGATGCACATCTAGCATTGGGATAGTTCGAAAACGGGCGCCGAGAGGGATAACCACAGGAAGGAAACCTCGATGTCGTGGCCCTACGTGGGAATGCCTCAACGGCCTACGAAAACTTGCAAAATTCATGCGCGATGAGGCAAGAGTACAGTGAGGATTTCACAGAACGGCACCTGCCCGTGTGTTGCTCGGCAGAGTTTCCCGCCCTCGAGACTGTTCCTATCCTGAAAGTGATCCTCCCTTCATTCGGAGCCGCCAAAGAGGAGTAAATACCAGGTCTGTGATATGAGTGGAACCCCAGGAGAGTCGAAGTGGAGTGTTTGGATGTCACAGCAGTTCCAACTCAATCGCCACCGCTTTGCAGTCATGACATTGGATGATGTTGCCTTGGGATTGGAGAGTATCAGGATGGGTTTCTTTGGGGAGGGTTTGTGGTGAGGGCATGCGGAAGTTTCACTGAAGCCAAATGGGTTACCCAACTGGACTCGACTCAACCTCGTCTCCATGATCAGGAGACTTTATAGCATGTAAATGGAGTCTCGCAATATCCCTGTTTCATTCACGTTCCCCTCCCCACAACCTCTTTCATACAGGCACGTCCTAACCTCCCCGCTGTTCAGAAAAGAACACCGCTGTTAAGGTAGGCTGGAACAAGATATCTGCCTGGATTTTCTCGTCAATTTCGATTCTGTTTCACCTTCTGCATAGATCAACCTCGCCTTTTGCCTTCTTTATACCTCGCATTCCGTGACGGGCGATCGCACGTACAAAGTCTACCCAAGCAGACTGTGGCACCAATCACTGTTCCGTTAGCAGAGTGCGAAACGATCAGCGGGCGGCAGAGACCCATCAAAGCCCGATTGGATACTTGCCGGTGCCGTGAGTGCTCCCTCCACCTTGGGATGATCGGGGAGCATTGCTTCCTCCGCCTTCTCGGCATTGTGCAATTTACGAAATTCGTCTATGGCTGATGCCCTCGTAATGCTGGCATTGTACCTTAGGAAGCCGCCAAGGGACAAGATTGCACAGGCAACAAAAGTATGCAAGCTCGTGTTGATGACAAGGAGTGTAACACTGACGTTCTCAGCGTAGAATGGCTCAAGGGTAGGACAATTCTAGACTATACCTCGGGGATGTAAAGCACGGAACGACAGACGGCGGTCCAATCACGTCCGAAGTCGCCTGTCAAAAGTACGATCTTGCGCAAAAGGAGCACCGGCAGGGGGATCTAATGAAAGTTGGAGGATGAATCCCGTGGTGTCTTTACGTACTGAAGAGGGTGCGGCCTTTCCAGAAACGACGAGGCTGCATGCATTGGCGGCCGCTGGCTGGTGCTGGTGCCTCCGGACTTGGCATGGCCATGACGCTTCTGGATGCGGGGAGCCTTCGATCGGCATGACCGTTTCCTCCAGGGACTTGCCGGGGGAGGGGGGGCAAGCAGAGTCTCCGTGGCGATTGGCAGGCCTTGAAGAGGCTGTCACTCCGCCCGGATCCGGCGCTCGGCACTTCTAGCGGGCGAGTGTCTAGCCTATACGAGAGCCTAGCCTAGTGACCTAACCACCCGGGGCCACCCTCCGACTAGTGGGTTATCCGCTCAGCGCAAAACTCACTCTCAACTCCTCTCTCCCTCTGTGGGATGCTGCGCTTCAGGCAGTCCACATCGATTTGCGAGACATCGCCAGAATCTGCAGATGACAAAGAGCTGCAGCCGAAAAGATCTTCTCTCGCTCATCTGACGATGGTCCTCGAAACGAAGTGGTTTAGCTAAAGCTTCAGTCCGCACCTCGTTGGACAACACATGCAGCAGCCCACCGATTTGGTGACATCTCAAGTCTCGTTCAGGCGAGGGGAAATGTACGTACCAAGTCCACTTTGACTAAAATTGTGCAGAAGCGCAGCAGCATGTAATGCCCAGCCATTTCCAGCTCCTCGACGGTTAGCGATGGCGCAATCTAGACTCAACCCAAGCCATCAGCGAATAGGTCATGCAAGCCATGTCAAACCCGCATTCCTACTGGGTATTCAGATGTCGAAGCAACAAGTGTGATCACGGACGTGGTCTCGTAAGACCGCGGCTGTCTAGCTGAGTACAATGACTGAATCTGCTATGATAAATGCAAGACACACTTTTCTATTCCCTGCCAATTCGAGCGAAGGCACAAGGATCCTACCTTATTGCGGAGACAACTTGACATCGAAACAGTTCGGTAGGTGTCTTCCGCTAAGCGAATATGTCTAACTCTAGCATGCAGCTAGGAGGATCCTTCCTGCTTCTTTTACGTATCCCCTCTCGGGTCCCTGAGAGGATACTCATCCAAGAGCTACATCGAGGATGCTGATGCTTCAACCTCTGGGCTACGCTTGGCTGGACTGTCCAAAGCGGTAGGTGGCTTGCATATCAGCAAGGATTGAGAGTGGCTTAAACGTTGTGGTCGGTTGTTGCGCATTCAACGCTGGTTGTTAGCAATTCCGTCTTCCCAGAAAGGTGCTTGAGGGACCAAAGCCATCGCCGATAGCTTTTCGCGTTTCCCAGGTGTGGTAGCCAATGATTCGGCCGTCGAGGGGGAGCTGAGGACGATCTCATGGATGGAATGGATACTTTGCTCCTAGCAGTAGACCCGACATCCCCCGCCGTCTCTGGTGACTGGGTCTTGACAAAACACATCCTAGCGGGAAGAGCTGAGGACATACGTATGTTGCATCCACTGACATACCTAAAGAAGAGGGAACTTCCCAGGGTCGAGTGTGGAACTGCCTCATGCTCGAGTATATAGCTCAGTGCACAAATGGCCCGGGTTCCCCGCCTCTGAGTTTTCATCATTGAGAAACTGGCAGCCGTTTGAGACTTTTTGACTTTCCCAGGTGGACTGTCATCATGCTCGGTCTGTTGCGGCAACCGTTTGGTATAAAGTTCCCTTCCCCAGCCGCAAAGGTGATTGCTAACCACGACTCTCTTTGCAGGACAAGACTCTTCGGCTGTCAAGGCCGAGAAAATCGAGAAACAATCTAGTATGACTTCCTCTTCTTTTCGGCGGGTCAGCAGCTCGTCGACAAATGGCTTCCAGTACACATCAACCTCTTCTATCTCAAATGGCGTCAACGGGGGCACGTACTCAGCTCTCGCCCCCCCAGATATTCCGGATGTCACAGTCCGGTCAGCTAAACCAATGCCCTCAGTGTTCATGCAGCGACCACGCGCTAGCACAGACCGCACGTCCTCGTTCGGCGGCCTGGAGCAAGTAAAAGAACAGTTGGCGACTTCTCGCAACCACGCTTACCGCGTTCTTGGCTCTAATTTCAGCGGTTATGCATTTGACACTTCCATCACCGGACTCCTCGAATGGATTCGGGATGAAAGGCTCATCCGACTCCCACACAAAGGTGGCTCTTGGGACCGTGTGCTAATTGCCGCACAACACTTCGCGGAACAGGTCCACCGGTTCAACATTGCGATTTCGACCTTTGAGTCCGACATCAATGCAGCTACAAATCTAGTATTTGGGCAGTGTCTTCTGCTGCTAGAGGTACGTCGTTTCCAACCTTTGCGACCTCCGCATTCACAATTCGCTCGGGTTATTGCTTCCTTTTCAACCCTCGTTATCTTCTTTCTCTGTCGCTTTCGATGCAAGCCCTTGACACCTTTGCAGAAGCACAAATCCTTTTCTATCACTGTGATTGCATCACCCCTACAGATCGGAGTACGAACCAGCTAACCCTTTCTTAGCTTGGAAGCGATAATGCTCCCGCATTGGAGACGGTCTTCAACCTCTTTTACCAGTTCGGCCTCGAATTGTCGCCACTTTTGAAACGGGTCGACATCATCACCTCTTCCAGACTCATTTCAGATAATCTTTCCAAGGCCTTTTCCGAACTCTTATCCATCGTGACCGGGGTGGCCATCACATTCTGGCAGATTGTCCATGGGAACAACTCCTCGACCAACCTCGACATATTTTCCACCTTCAGCACATCTATCGAGAGTTTCCGCTCTCGAGTCACTCAGTGTTCTCAGGATATGTGGAATTTCAGCTTGACGGCTAGCGGCTTGAAAGAGGCTCATATCCTTGAAGCCCTGCAGGCGTGGCTGGCTCCCCAAGACACTGTTCTGGCCTTCTTAGCTAGCAACAACATCAATATCGCCAGCCGCCCAGAGCAGTTTACCTGCACATGGTTTCAGTCCCACCTGACAAACTTCATGCGAAGCGGGGAAAGCTCACTTATTGTCGAGGGCAAGACGGGCACGGGCAAGACGACGTTGGCAAACTGGACCGTTGATCGGCTTCAACGACCTATTGGCCGCAAGCTCGTGTTCCCTCTGAGCTTTTTCTTCAACAGCAACATCCCTGCTCAGGCCAATTCCTTTGCGCTGCTCAAAACTCTCTTGTGGCAGATTCTGTCTCAACGCATTGGAGACATCCACCTGTACAAGGCTTTGAGCGAAGCGTACCATGAGTTCAAGGATTCAAACGCACCCCACAAAAATGAAGAGATCCTGTGGTCCGTCCTTGAAAAGGTGCTGTCAACCATTGACTATGATGAGACAAACACACTTGTACTCGTTGTCGACGGTCTTGACGAAATTACAGGGCAGAGACACCATGCTCATGCTGTAGCCAACAGGCTCCATGACTTGGCTGTTAAAATACCTGGTCTGCGATTGATTCGCTTCTCCCAGCCGCTTGAAACATCTCACACGAAGTCGGAATACGTCAAACTTTCGACAGAGACCATGCTTGATGACATCCGAACCATTCTGCGCCGGGAGCTCGGTGACAACAAGTCGTTCGCCGCAATTGAAGACGGTGCCCAGGAATCCGCCATCGACAAATTGGCAGCCGCCGCTGATGGCTCAATTCTCTGGGCCTGGCTTGCTACGCAATACATCGGACACCAAAAAATCCACTCTACGTTCGACGAAGCGCTGCAAACTCTCGTTGCCAGCCCAAAGACTGTGCCGGACATAGCCGAAAGACTGATTTCGGTTCTTCGCATCGACGCACAAGCGAAAAGCTTCCTTTCCATTACTCTGGCTGCGGAGAGGCCATTATTACTCTCAGAACTCGAGCTCTTACTCCAAGCCCAACCAAGCCGTTTCGAGATGGACGAAAAGAGCGTCGACCTTCGTGATCTGATCGCATCCGTCGCCCCCTTCACCATCAGAGGGGAAGGTATGTTAGCAATCAGACATGCGGCGATCAAAACAGCCTTGATTGCAGTTGCCGAAAAGTCGAAGGACTACTCGCTGATCCAAGATCGGCATAGGGATATGCTGACTCGCATTCTGATCCACGCAAAGACTTCCCTCAGAGAAGACCAGGAACCGACGCTGGATTATTTGGATTTCAGCCGGATCCACCGTCCCTCTCACTCCCGCCAGCTGCTAGAGTATACCGTTAGATACTGGATTGTTCACTTCAAGCAGTCGTCACTTCTTAAGCGTGGCGGAGATCTCGATATCCCCAAAGAATTTGCTAACATCTTTCCTTCAACTGTGACCTTAGCCCTCCTTGAGGAAGCCTGCTGGCGCGCACAGACATCACCCAGTGAAGCGACAGAGCTCCACGCTCTCGCCTATCGTGTTCGCATGAACCTATTCGGTCAAGACCACACCTGCGTGTTACAGGCAGCTATTGTCATCGCAAAGATATATGAGACCACTCTGTTACGACTCCACGATGCAGCGTCCTGGTACATGACATCAATCAGGGCTGCTACAAAGATATTGGGCTCGCATCATGATCTCGTTGTCCAACTCTGTCTCTGCTTGCTACGGGTGACAGAAGGCTTGGTGACAAAAACCAGGAGTCAGATAACAACTTATCGTGAAGAAACACTGCGAATCCTCGTCTCCGCCTACACATACCGTTACGGCGCGAGCTCGAGGGAGGTATCTGCATGTTACAGACTGTTGAGCGAGCTTTATGTCTTCATCGGCGAAACTGAAAAGACTGAAGAATTCAAGCAGAAATCTGGTTCGACCGTCATCGACGATCAGGGCATCCAAGAAAATGGCGAAAAGGTGTCCCGCAGCTTGGATGTCACCCTCCTTAAGCGCAAGGAAAAGGAGCTCATTGATACCTTTGAGGGATCAGTAAGTCAAGTCTTTCGAGTGCTAATCCCACGCGACGATTTAACTCCGTCATATACGATGTCAACTTGGCCACGAGCTAACTGATATTTACAGCTTTTCGCTGGTTATCAAGAGGAAACTGCAGAATCTCTCACCTTGTCGTTAGTCGAAGGCATCTTTGCGCGCGCAACTGAGTTGATCCAGCGCGAGGACTATGAGAAGGCTGAAGAACTCTACATTGAACTGTGGTGGAAACTGACCGAGCACTGCGCCAGTGTTAGGACCTTGGAGTGGCACCAGAAGAAGCTAGAATTGATGCTGGCCTATGCTCGTTTCTTGCACTCCCGGAAACGCGTTGACGAGGCGTCTTCTGTCCTTCTGTTCGCCTGGAAGGAGTTTGAACACAGCGAATTCTCGATGTACGAGTCCATTGTTCGACTCCTGAAAGAGATCGCTGTCATCATGAAGGCCGTCAAGCTCAACACAGTGGCTCTATCCGTCTATCAGAAATGCTTCTCCTACTACAGAAACGTCAGCGAAAGCACCTTCATTACGGAGATTGAAGAGCAAATCACTGCCACTTCCATGGAAATTATTAAATGTTCAACCACCACAGTCAGCGAATCCACCGAAGTCACAATACGCGAGGTATGTCATCTCCCACGCGTCTAATTGAACTCCCTACGCTTGTTTTAAGTTTTGTTGTCATCCTGAAAGTCCTAGAGCTGACTACGAGCTTCAAGGTATTCGAGCATACCATCACCACCTCTGCCGAGGCTACCCATTCCACCTTCGAACTTGCCAAGTCACTGACAGCTATTTACATTGAACAAAGCCGGTACTCACAAGCCATAACGGTCCTCGAAAGCACAATGAAGAAGGGCTGGGCGGCATTGTTCAACGACGCTCTCGAGAGCATTACTCTCCCTGCCAAATTTTCCACAGAGAGTGTTATGCTTGCCGTGCGCTTAGCTGAATGCTACGAACAACACCAGGTTCTGGACCAGAGCGAGCAAATTTACCTGAGGCTCTATCGTGCCCATCACAAGACACACAGTATTGACAATCCTGCCGTTGCCAAACACTCGGATATGTATGTGGCGTTCCTGAAGCGCCATGGGTTCCACGACCGCATCATTGGCTTTTATCAAGAGTTGTTGATCGACTACCGCAACTTCTACGGCAAGAGTGACAAGGAGACAATAACTCTCCTCTACAATCTCGCAGACACTTGCCGGACTCACCATCTTGTCCATAGGTACTGGGTGGAATACTACCTTGAAATCGTCAATGCGGTCAACAAAGGCGAGTTGATCAGTCAGAGAGATGCACTCCGCGCTCTCATCATTGTTGCCGAGCATTACTATGAGAGTCGGCGATTTACAGAAGCCTTAATTCATTTCAAGTCAATTGCGGCCACATTCATCAAGTTTGGCACTCAGTATGAACAATTCACCGATGCTGCAGTCGTCCGGCGCCTGTTGGAGAAGTACTACACCTCGATGGAAGAGACAAAGCTGGATGTCGACCAACACGTGAAGATCTTGCGGGAGATCCGTGAAGCTTGCTTCAAATATTACGGAGAAAAGTCTGTGATCTCGATCATTACAACAAGCGCATTGGCTGAGGCATGCTCCAAGAGCCAAGAGTATTGGTAAGTCACTTTTCTTCACGGCATCTGTTCTCGAAAGAGCTATTATAATTCCCTTCCCTTCATTAATAGACACTAAGATTACTTTACAGGTTCGAATCCATCCGCTATTTCGAGACCGTGTCGCAGCATTCTGAAGTGGTGTCGGTCCAGACGATCGAGCGGTCCAAGAGCATGATCAAGGAGCTTTATATCAAGCAGATTACATCAACCAAGTCCACAACATTGAGCAAAGAGACTGTCGAAAAGGCCGAGTCTCTCCTGTTCGAGAAGTACATATCGAGCCGCACCGCGCATGAGTACACGCAGACGAAGACGCTCAAGCAACTCCAGCAGCTGATCGCCATTTACCACAAGCAGCAAAAGACAGACCTTATCATCAAAGAACTCAGGTCTTTGATCCTGGATATCGTCCTGAACGTTCACACAACGGAAGAACTGGTCTACGTGGCTGATTTCCTCGCCTCGATCTTCATCAGCTACGACCTCCGCCGCTACGCCTTGGAGATCGTCAGAGATCTCAAACTCCAGGCTATCTACCAGTCTGCGCCCAAGACTTCCGCGTTCCACGGCACGACGATCGGGCGAGCTTGCTTCGCTTTTATTGCTGCCTTTGAATATCATGTCCGCAGCGACCATACTCTAAGCATTGCACACAATATTGCCGAGTTGGTAGCCGTAAGTGATACTCCAGATCTGAACTCGTCTCCTCGAAGTCGTCTCTTTCTTAAATCAAGACATTGGCACCTACTCCCTTCTGATTCATTATTCGTATACTGACCGAATCTCAACAGGAACACTTGTTCTACGAACGCTTCGTCAGGTCCATCAAGGCCAAAGCCAAGCTGCAAGCGGTCTTCGTCCATGCGGCTCGTCTCCGCCATATTCTCGTCCGAAACAACCGCTTTGAGGACTTCACCATCATTGAAACGCAGCTGATTGATTTCTTCGCTGCTTCGGAAGTCTCAGTGTCCAAAGCCGTTTCGCGAGCTGCCCTGCAAGCATTTGTCAATGTTATCACCAAGTATGCTGCGGAGCATCCAAACGTCCACTTCAAGAGTTTTGTCGTTGCAGCTAGCTACGCCGCTGTTGACCAGCTTCGCCTATTGTTGAAGCAGAACAAGGATCAGGAAGCCCTTGATCTTGCAACTTGCACGTTCAAGTTCCTCATGGCGCACGAAGGTCTTGATGACCCGACCGAAATCCGTCTTGGGTTCCAGCTATGCCTCATGACTGCTGGAAGAGGTGAATTTGCCTACAAGAGCAGCAGTCCGAAGGTTCAAAGCGAGATGCTCGCACTCTCTCAGCAGATCTTGGCTGAAGTTTTTGATATTTGCAAGAACAATAACATCAACATTGCCCGAGCCCAGCTATCTGAACTCAACGAACTCATTAGCTTGATTGGCGAACACAAGGACTATGCCCGTCTTTCTTGGCTTCTCAATACTCTGTGGACGTCTCGCGAGGGCCAAAGCTCCTGGCCTCAGGATACTATCCTTGACCTTGGTTTCCGCCTTGTTCAAGCGGAGTTCAGTGCCGGCAATTACAAGCCTGCGTTGCGCCTGTGCGAAGACATTGTGTACAACATCAAACGCGTCCATGGATCGAGGAATCCGCGTTTGTACTCGTGCTGGAATCTGCTGGCAGAGCTCTACACCGGATATGCAAACCATTTGCTGGCCGAGGCCGCCAAACAGGAGCCTGCCACCAAGAAGGTGTCGGAGCAGAGCGCTCTCCTTTACCTGAGAAAGGCGGCGGACGTCCATCTCACGGCACTCAAGCAATTGGTGGATGCCGATGCGGCTGACACCGGCGATGATGATGACTATGAGTTGGACTTCGGCATCAGCTTGAAGAAAGCTGCTACAACCAACGGTGCCAATGGCGTGAGCTCTCAACCCAAAGTCAGTGGGGACCACAAACATGTGCGCTCTTTCCAAAACCGAGAGGAGGAGCTTGAGATCGTCCGCAGACATCTCAGACTGCTCAAACTCGCGCTTCAGCGGGCCGGTGGCTTCTCTAAGTCGCTCAGGGAGTACGAAACCTTGACGCAGAAGATCAGTGCCCATTACGGCGAAGATTTGAAGCTCAAGGATCTCGAGTGGAATGCCGCCAAGTGGAAAGTCGACGGGCTGACGCTGGGCCAAGCAGAAGGGCAGAAGCAGGATGGTGTGTTCCGTATTCCTATGCACTGGGAAATTCATGTGGCTTGATCGTGGTCTGGCAGGGCGATGATGACAGGGGGAAAGAGAAGAATGGCGCATGGGCAACAATTGAAAACAACTAATATCGACCGAGAAAATTGACAACACCACCACCACCACCACCACCACCACCACAACAACAACAACAACAACAACAAAAAAAAAAGTGACGATTGGTATCTAGTCGTGAGCTGGATTTTGGATTCGATGCTTTTGAATGTCCTCTCAGGTAACTAATAATAGTCAAGTATGCTCTCTCAATTGTCCATTGTAATTTCATGTCACCTTACAGGTTCATGGCTTTAAGTTGCAGTGGGTGCAGTGGGTTGATGCCGCGAGGCTGGGGGAGAAGGGGCCCAATCGGGGTTGCGTACAGTGTTCAGATAAGAGAAACACGGGAGGAGCCTTGTTCATTGACCAAGATGCTGTACCAAGTGTTCCGTGGATCCCGTGTATCGCCTATTGATCGATTTGGTTTCAAGCTTGTATAATCCCTTGCACAGTTTCCAGGGCGGGAAATTGCCTCTGCGGTTTGAGAACTGTCGGCTTAGCCTCCACTCTGAAGGGTAGGTTAGCCGATCGCATTTCCTCCACCCGCAAATGCCACTGCCACAAAGATACCTTCGTAGATCTCCTCCTTCTCCCCAATGAATAACATTCAGACCTTTGTCGCGTGAGACCTTATCGACAGCTTTCGACCCCCCGCATACATATACTTGAATCGCCTAGTTGCCAATAAGGTTCACGGTTTACAAAACAATGACAACAGCCAACACCTCTCTTCCGGCTTCACACCCTCAGCCATTGGAGAATCTCGTCAGTGGCTCCAGTGGGATTCCACCGCCGTCTTGGCCATGCTTCCGCCCAGACGACAAGCCTCGGCGCGCGCTGGGGATTCGCCTCTATGGGCGCAGGAAACTTCTTGTCTTCGTGGATCTTCTGCCAGTCTCCGCTCCCGCTCGGCTGCAATGGGCTTCTCGAACCGTGGTATCGCCTCCGCCGAGTCGTATTATCTCTTGGTCGTAACCTCTTGGCCTCCGCATCTGCTCGGTGCCTTCCACTATCAGTTAAGTGACGTGACCTCGTTGACTGGGCCAAGCCGCCACGCCGAAGAAAGCTCTCCACCTTGGAAGGCTTGCAAGAGCGCTGACATAGGAGACGCGGATGGCCGAGAGATAGCAGATTGAGCTTCTTGACCCTGTTGTACCCTCCATTAACCGCTGGGAGATGGTGGTATTAAAGGTGCGGACGGGATCTACTCCTGCCTCCTTCATCTCCCCTCTCTTGCATAGTCTGTGCGTTGCTCAGAGCGTTGTCCATTGTCTCTCGAGCAGCTCTTGAACCCCCCCAGGGATCCTTCTTATCTTCCCTTCTACTGATACTCAATCGGGAAAATGAGTCTCGACGCGCCGAAGGAATACACCATAGCACAGGAGTCGCCGACCGACTCTGAGAAAGCCGTGCCCATCACCAGGCACAGTCCAGGAGATGGCTACGTCCCCGAGGACTTTCGCGAGAAGGACTTTCTCACCCGCAATGGCCTCAGCCTCAACAGTTTCCGAAGACGTAAGGCTTCTCTATTGTCGCATCAACATGCATTGACAATTCCACAGGCGACTGGGGGACGGGCGTGGAGGAGCTTGATCGGTCCATGAAGTCCCGCCACCTGAACATGATTGCTATTGGGGGCTCAATCGGCGCTGGTTTCTTCGTTGGCTCTGGAGGAGCTTTGACTCGAGGCGGCCCGGCCTCTCTTCTCATTTGCTTCCTCATCACCGGAGTTATGATCTTCAACGTCGTCTATGCGCTCGGAGAATTGGCCGTCATGTACCCCATCAGCGGAGGTTTCTACACATATTCGGTTCGCTTTGTAGGTTGCGAGCCTGCCAGTACAAGAACAGGTCCACGGTGCTAACGGCACGATAGATTGATCCTTCATGGGGTTTCGCGATGGGTTGGAACTACGTAGGTCTTCATGCCGAGTATTGACCAAGTTTGTCCACTCACAGAGAGCAGGTCTTCCAATGGATCATCGTCCTACCGCTTGAATTGACCGTCTGCTCCTTCACCGTGCAATATTGGAACAAAGACATAAGCGTTGCGGTCTGGATCACCATCTTTTGGGTCTTCATAATCTTTATCAATGTCTTTGGGACCCTGGGCTACGCCGAGGAGGAATTTTGGGCCTCCCTGTTCAAACTCCTCGCGACCGTCATCTTCATGGTCGTTGCCGTCGTTCTCGTTTGCGGCGGTGGACCCTCGAGTGGTATCTACGACGAGTACTGGGGCGCCCGGCTGTGGTATAACCCTGGTGCCTTTCAGAACGGCTTCCGTGGCTTCTGCTCCGTGTTTGTCACGGCGGCGTTTGCATTTGCTGGCACCGAACTCGTGGGACTCGCTGCCGCCGAATCCAACAACCCTGGCAAGTCCCTTCCGAGCGCCATCAAACAGGTCTTCTGGCGTATTACCCTGTGAGAGGATACCACGTTTCCCCTCCAAGTGACTGTGCAGCTAATGGGTTACAGATTCTACATCCTCGGGCTCACTTTCGTTGGCCTTTTGGTTAGCTCTACTGACGACCGTCTCCTCAACGCCGCCAACCCGTACGCAGACGGCACGTCGCCTTTCGTGCTGGCACCCCTTGATGCCGGCCTGATCGGCTACGACAGTTTTATGAACGTGGTCATTCTTGTCTCGGTCGTGTCGATTGGTGTTTCCAGCGTCTACGGCGGCTCGCGAACCTTGACCGCCCTCGCTCAGCAGGGGTATGCGCCCCGGATTTTCTCCTACATCGACAGGTCCGGCCGACCGCTGCCCTCTGTGGTACTCAACCTGGCCTTTGGTGCGTTGGCTTATGTTGTCCTGGCGTCATCCGGCGGCGTCGTCTTCGACTGGCTGCTCGCGCTGTCTGGTCTCGCCGCCCTCTTCACCTGGGGCTCTATCTGCGTGGTAAGTCCCTTGCAATGGCCGCCATTTCGTATACTCAGAAGTTGCCCTTTTACTGACAAGATGCAGGCGCACATCCGGTTCCGAGCAGCTTGGACCCACCAGGGGCGCAGCCTGGACGATATCCCATTCAAGGCGATCGGCGGCGTGTGGGGATCGTGGCTGGGCCTGTTCCTCGTGTGCATCGCGCTGGCGGCACAGTTCTTCGTCGCCATCGCCCCGCCCTTCACCAGCGACCTGGCCAGCGCCGAAGACTTCTTCAAGGCCTACCTGGCCCTCCCCGTGGTGCTCTTCTTCTGGGCCTGCGGCTACCTGTGGAAACGCCACGGATTCCTCCGCCTCGACCAGATCGATCTCGACACAGGCCGTCGCGAGCACGACTGGGAGACCATCAATGCCTTCAGGGCCAGAGTCGCGACTTGGCCGTGGTGGAGGAAGGCGCTCAGCGCCATCTTCTGAAAGACTAGAAGGCGAATGAATGGTTAGGAAGCGTTACGGCCAGGTGAGAGGCGAGTGAGAGTAGGAGAGGCTGTTTGACGAAGACAGTATTCGTGTCCTTCTGAATGGAACCGGTAGCACATTTCTTATTCCTCCATGAAGGTCCCCTCTGTAGGCACGTGGTCGACTCGCACCGATATGCATCGACTTGGTATACCCTGTACTGTGAATGGATGAATGGATGAATGGCTGAATATCTGGTACTCCATATATCTATACACCACATACATACCATAGTTGCAGTGTCAACGCAGGCATGAATATCCATTTTATATGTGTGACGCATTGTTGGCTGATAGTTATCGACGTAGGGACGGGGGATGCGAAAGGGCTCGCGAGGCCCCTAGGCTAATAGCGAATGAGGCGTCCAGACTCCAAAAGGTGGGATCTAAACCCATCACGGCAAAGATACACAACGAGTCAAGACCCAGGCATAAATGTCCGGCTTGTCCCGTCCTCAGAATATTGCAGTTCCCATGGTGGGAGCTATGCTTCTTCGATCGCCACGACGAGAAACAACTTGTCATACCTCACTCTCTCGTGTCCATCCGCAGATCCCAGGGACCTTGTGACTGACTGCCGAACGTATCTGCTATTCCTTACTCATTCGGCCCCGAGTCGAAGGTCGCGGCGTGGGGTGGCAATGACGGACCCACCGATATCGTCATTTCCATCGACATCGCCTCTAAGAAAAGCGTGTCGCAATTGCACGAGGAGCAAGCGGCGGTGCGTGATTGGGCTTCCAAAGTGCCAGCGCTGTCGGAAGATGAATCTCGACTGCGTGTACGATCTGGAGCCGCTCTTGACACAGAATTCATCGGGTGCATCTTCATCTCCCGGGACACAACGCCGCAGATGCAGGAAAAGCCGCGCTCTCACAGCCAAGTCGGACACGGGCCATAGTGGCGACGCAAGCGCCGACGCAGCCGAGCCCGACTTCCTGCAGTACATCTCCTCCTTGCACATGAGCGACAAGATCCACGCCTGCTTGGCCCACCGAACGCTGGTGCTTGCGCTGACAGCCGTGCCTCTGACGGCGGATCCCGAAGCCACGCACTACATCATTGGCGAGATGCTTCGGATTCCGGACCTGGTGCGAAAAGGACGGGCGACGCCTTTTGTTCATCCTCAGCTGCATGGGACAACCTCTCAGCGGTATCTGGCCTGGGTGCTTGAGGACGTCAGGTTTGACAGCAGTCATTTCTCTGAGCTCATCACCCTGGACGCACAAACTGTCCCTCTGATAGAGTTAGTGGCTGCCACACAAGCTCTGATCCTGCTCCTGATTCAACACGCCTTTAACCAGAAGTCTACCTGGCCAGTCAACCTGGGGTTCGAACTATTGGCCAGATGGACTACTATACTCTGGACATCGGCGACGGGCAGAATGCCCCATAACTTGGACCCATGGCAGAGCTGGATTCTGGGCGAGAGCGTCCGTCGGGCTATCCTAATGTCGTATCTACTCGATGGCACATACAGTGCATGGAGAGTTGGCTGGTGTTGTCATCAGCTATTTGTTTACGCACTGCCCTTCAGCTCACAGGGACGATTGTGGCTCACTG